AGGAATGTATCTGGTCAACCCCCTGAGGGCCAAGTGGGTGGGGCCAAAGACATATCCCTTGAAATTTAGGAGGGTAATTTAGTATTAGTATTCTGTTAGATGGCTTAACACACACACAGCCATTGATGCCAAGGTCCCTGGAGGCTCAGGGAGTAGCAGCGCCCATTTCCGGCTGCTTTGCCAGCAACAATCCCTTTGGGAGAGAGAGGATGTGGTCCTGGGATGCCCTGCTCTGGGTGCGAGGGGATTGCTGCAGTGGCCTCCGTGGGAGCTGCCCTGGGAGACACTGGGAAACTGGTCCCCAATGCAGCAGCCGGACTCTGGGCTGGGATCCCTCTCTTTGTTCCTGGCCTTCCTCTCCCACCTTTTTTTTGGGGGGGGTGTCTAGTCCACCTCCTTGTCCAGCTTTGGAAAACCATTTGCAGATGTTCCCTCTGTTGTGCAATGAGGCTGAGCGATGTCACACAGAGTTAAAGTCCCAGGGACTCATTTGTTTACGAAGGGAGATCTTTTCTGAAAGGGGGGGGGAGGGCCAAATGAGTTTGGGATCCTCTGATCTGCAGGAAGGAGAGCGTGGCAGACATGGCCCCTCCTGGCAGGACCCTCTCTCCTCCCTGACTTGGGGTCCCCCCCCCCGCAGGAGCAGATCAGGCCCCCCAGGCCCCCTCCCCTGCTGCAGCCCTGGGACCCCCACCAGATCCCAGAGAGAGAGGAGACTCACCAGATCCCGGGAGGGGGCAGCGAGGCAGCCCTTGCAGGAGAGACACCCAAGCAGGGAAGGACTGGGGAGGGAGGGGCCTTGGCTCTGGAGGACCTGCCCCCCCCCGTCCGCTTCCTGGCCTCTCTAGGAAGGCAGCTCGGTTCCCTTTAACCCTTGCAGGGCCGAGTCCCCCAGCTCAGCCCCGAAGAAATCCCGGCTCGCGAAGGGTCTCTCTAATCCAAGCAGTGGCGTAGCGTGGGGGGTGCCAGGGGTGCCAGCCGCACCGGGCGCAACATCTGCGGGGGGCGCGAGTCCAGAGGGAAGGGACAAGTTCCTTCCTCCGCCGGGCTCCCCGCCGCCGCCGCCAGCCTTGCGCCCTAGCGCCCCCCCCCCGCCGCCGCTGCGGCTGCGCTCCACTCACTGCTCGCAGGAGGAGCAGCCGCTGCAGCAGCGCCGACGCCGCCACCGACGCCTGGCCGGGCACGGGCAGCCTCCGCACCCCGACGCCGACGCCATCCCCTTCCCCCTTTTTTTCCAGAGCTGGGGGAGGGGGAGGTTTTAAAAGGGGGTCTTGCATTGGCGATCCTGCAGCACTTTGGGCCGCACGACGCGAGCGCGCAGCACGGATCAGCCACGACCCCACCCCGTGCATTTCCCGGGGGAAAGTGCTCCGCGTGGGAGGCGCGTTTCCCCTTCATTCCCTCTCGTGCAAATCCTCCTTGGGTTCCCTCCCCCGTCTTTCCCCTCCCTACCTCACAAAAGCCTCACCTCGTCGCCTCCTCGCTGCGTTTCCCTCCGCGGAAGAAGGAGCAGGGCGCTTCTGCAACTTTGGATTGCAACTTCCTGCTTCCCTGGGAAACAGAGCCTGGCCGGGTCAGTTGTCCAGCGGAGGGCCAGTTCCCCCCTCCCTCCCTCCCTCTCTCTCTCTGCAACCCTTGCGGCCCCCCCCCGTACTACTTGCAATGCAACTTCCGCGCTCCATGCGCTTTCATAGAATCTGTCGAGCTGGAAGGGAGCCGAGGGTCATCTAGTCCCACCCGCTGCAATGCAGTAATACGCCGCTGCCCAACTACAAGGGATCGAACCTGCAACCTTGGCCTTATCAGCGCCGTGCTCTTAAACTGAGCCATCCGGGCTCCCCTTTCCCCCACCTTCTTGCGTGCCTGAACCTGTCCGCGTTTTGCATTCTAACACTTGCAAGCTCCATCCTCCAGCAGTTCCCTGACGCCGGCTGCGCTTCCTTTCAGGCCAATACTTGGCAGCCATAAACTCGCACCGTGTCCAATATCCTATAAAAAGCATTAATCGGAATACCTTGCAACATTTCATCAAAGAAAATTGAGATGCCCTATTCCATAATAATAATAATAATAGTAATAATTTTATTATTTATACCCTTCTAATCTGACTGGGCTGCCCCAGTCACCTTGGATAAAAATATAATAAAGCATGAAACATTTAAAAAAACTTCCCTTCAGATGACTTCTGAAGTTGTAGAGTTACTTATCTCCTTGGCTTGGGGGGTGTCTAATAAAAATAAAAATAAATTATTTATACCCTACCCATCTGGCTGGGCTTCCCCAGCCACTCTGGGCGGCTTCCAAAAAAATATTAATACGTCAAACATTAAAAGCTTCCCTAAACAGGGCTGCCTTCAGATGTCTTCTAAAAGTCTGGTAGTTGTTCTTCTCTTTGACATCTGGTGGGAGGGCGTTCCACAGGGCAGGTGCCACTACTGAGAAGGCCCTCTGCCTGGTTCCCTGTAACTTGGCTTCTCGCAGTGAGGGAACCGCCAGAAGGCCCTCGGAGCTGGATCTCAGTGTCCAGGCAGAACGATGGGGGTGGAGACGCTCCTTCAGGTCTACTGGTCCTTTGAGGCCGTTTAGGGCTTTCAAGGTCAGCACCAACACTTTGAATTGTGCTCAGAAACGTACAGGGAGCCAATGTAGGTCTTTCATGTAACTTCATAC